TATTTCTTTTCATTCGCCTTATTGAATCGTAAGATATTGCATGTATCGGCTGAGGCAAATCTGTTCCTCGCTTGGCAAGACTATCAGCCTCAACGTTTCCCAGAATCCCGCAATGGCTGGGAATCCACCGTAGGACCACATTGGTGCCTCGGAGTGTCAGGTTAGAGAGGAGGGATTTGCATTCCAATATAGCACTCGATAGACATCGAGGATAGTAATAGTGAGGATGTCTGCTTGGGAGTCGATGAAGAGAATAGCGCTCTGATCCCGCTTTCTAGACAATGTTCTTAAGGCTATGAGGATCACTCCTATCTCACCGTCGAAATTTGTTCCATCTTTACCCACCGCAGCGCTGATTTGGAATTCCCTTGAGTGAACCCCTGCCCCAGCATTTTTAACGGCTGATCCATCGGTATAGATATGGAGCCAATCTTGAGGAGGGTACTTTTGAGCTATAGTTTGTAGTGCTAATGCTTTTAGCTCGTATTCAGGTGTTTCTTTCCTATCCACCTTATGAAGGAGTTGCATTTCTGCATTGCATGCGTGGTTGTGAATTGGTGACTGTGGATATACAAATTGTTTCCTTTCTTCGCAGTCAAGTCCTCTTTCTTCAAGTAGTGCCTTCAGCATGAAGGATTTTTGTGTCTTGAGTCGTTGAATGGGGTTTTTGTAATTTTTCCAAAACTCTGGGTCCATTCTTTTCATTCTCTCGTGAAGGCACACTGCAGCTCGCTCACGCCGTTTCGAGAGGGGTTCTGCCGTGTTCTGCATTTTCATAGCTACCACAGGGGTTGAGCGCGGTACACCCAAAATCAATAATAGCGTTCTATGGTACCTATAGGTCCCAACAAATATCACGCCGCCGATTACTTAATAAATCACAAGGGAGGGGGGTGAGCGAGCGAATTATATGCAATCATGCAATGAAATACGTTATCATGTTATCATGTACTAACCTTCACCCCAATATTTCGCAAGTGACTGCGCCTATGACGATATCCATCACTGCATAATTAATCTAAGGTTTATTATTAACGTTCACCATTTATCAACAAATTATATGGAGAAAATGTCTGTCGGACAGTTTGAAGATGAAATTATGGTTACTGGGCTTGGTACTTCACTATAGTAATCATGCATAATGATGAAACGTTGTACAGGCTTCTTTTTTTCGAGCTATTAACATCCGCTTAAAACTTCGTGAAATAGAGCGTTTTCTCATTGAATCAAGTAATATTAATTTAATTAACAACAGATTTTTCCGACATTTAGAGCACCTAAAAATGACAATATTCGAAGAGAACCCTGTACTAGTTTATCTCCAAGAAACACACTTACAAGAAACTCAAACAGTGAGATATAAAGATTACGATATATACCGAAAAGCAAAAGATCGTCATGGGAAGACTTCGTATCTTCATTAAATCAAAGCATTTCAATGAAGGAGCTCTGGAATAAAGTGAAAAGCATTAAGGGGATCTCCAAAACCAAGAAATTGTGTGGTATAAAGACTGGACAAGACATTATAACTGACCCTGACGAAATCGTTAACGAAAGTGATAAAACTCTGCAACAGAGTGTAATGTAAAGGCGTTGCCAATGACCCTACAGGGTAGAGGCAACAAAATACCAAATAAATAAATAAATAATTTAATTAAGTACTGAAACTCATAAATATTCATTTTCTTTCCACTTAAATCGTAATATCTTACTAATTTGTTCACAAAATCGAAAAGAAAGGAGACCTACAAACATATTGATCCGTTTAGCCTATATAACTTCGTTATTTTGACATGTTGGAGTGGAGGTCATACCAAAGGGTCCTATATTTTTGTAGGCCACCTTTATGCTCGATCGTATGATCAAATTATCTTTCGATCTAATTGGAAAGCAATTGGAGGTTTATGAGTTTTTAGTACCTAATTAAGTAGACAATATTTGCCGATCTTCAGTTTGAAAACGACCCAATAACGAGAATCGTAAATAAAAAAAGTTGCAGGCTACGATGATCTGAAGCTATTCACGTTTTATGAGGATGTTAATAATTTGATAAAAAGGGATCTATACCACAGACTGCCTCCAAAAAGTTTTAACTTGATGTTAACAACTCTAATTTTTTCATATCGATCCTCTGTAGTTCCAAGGAATGAGAAATCAAGAGTTTTGGAAACATCCAATATTAACCAGCGAGCTTTCTGACAAGAGAAAATGACAATTATAAACAAGAGAAATCAGATTCTGTTATGATGGGTTAAAATAATCAGCCACAGATCGAACTAAAACGGCGCCCAAGCAGAACAAAGAAAATACAGCGGGGAAAAGTAAAAATCCTCTGAATAAATGGAAAATGTTTTGTTGCTTTCATTTATTTTCTTGTCGATCCGTCGAAAGCGAATCACCATTTGTTCTTCACGACTTGGTTTAATCAATATAAGTTACAAACAGCGTATGAGAAATCAAAATGGTGGATGTAGAAAATTGATAATTCATCAAAACTTAATACGTGTCAGTTCTGTGAAAGCTTTTATCAGCGATTTTATTTATTTAAAATATAATTTTCTGTAGATATTAGTACGAAACATAATGCTATAACCATGTAAAATAAATCAATATTTATAAAATAATTGAATTAGGTGCAAAGTATGTTAAATTGATCTTGTATCAGTATGAAAATGGATATAAATGCTTTTGTGGGCAACTTTTTGTTTTTAATAAATACTAAGATATTTTGTTTATTGGCAAATATTAGAATATTAAACATTATTTGTAGTTCTTGATATACTTAATGGCCATATTGGTCTTAAAATAATTTAGTAATTTTATCTTAGTAATAGTAATTCACTTTCAAAATAATGAAAGCATTATTATCTCGATTCAATAGATGATTTCAGTCGTTCTATTAATAGAAAAAATAGTAGATTATTTATTTGTTGGACTTATAAATACTGTATATTGAAATGTTATTAAGTTATGAGCAATCTCTACTTAGTAAGTCTGAAGTAGGATGTTGAAATGGGATGTATTGTTTTTTTTTCATAGAAATTTCTTTTTTTTCAATCCTGGTGACGTATGATAAGTAAAATGCAGCATGATTTGTTGGGCTCAAGAAGGCATGATATTCATGATAATAATTATTTTTGAAGAGAACGATGGTTAGTGTGATCAGTCAAAATAAAAAATGGCAAAAATAAATAATAATATTTATTTTTACATTTGCCGACGTTTCAACCCGAAGTTCAGGCCTTTATCAGGGCTGAGAAAAGAATCAGATAACAACAGGTATGAGAAACATAAACTATGAAGACAGACAAACTTAAAGTAAAATGAATTAGACAAAGTGAACATTAAAGTAAAATAAAGTAGGAAGGATAATAACAGTAACAAGAACTAAGAAATAAATAATTTTCTAGACGTATCTTTTAAGTTCGATGCCATTATTTTATTAAAGTTTTATAAAATATTAGGCCAAAGGTCACCAAATGTACACAGTTTTTTATATAATGTATTATTTATTCGACATTTCGGCTTCAGGAGGCATTTTCAAGATCCTGCAAACTAATTTGAATTCAGTTAGTATACTTCAAACTATATCATTACAAAACATCATATATTAATTCCATAACAATCATTTATATAAGTAGTCGAAATTCTATTTTATAATTATTTTTTTTATAACATCGTATTTTTGTAAAATTTATCATCTACCTACCATTCACTGCTTCATAAAATTTCCTAAAATGTATCATTATAATATAATTTGTCTTTTTGCCATTCTTTTATTTCATGGAATGTCGTTTTTTCACTTCTGAAAGTTATAATAAATAAATAATTAAAATAGATTGTTAACATTTTTTTAATTTATTTATTTTTATTTAAAAAAAGAATATTATCTGTTCTCAATTTATGTACCTCTTTCGTAGACGATATTAAAAATGTTCCTCTAATAAATAATAATATAGGCTAAAAGGTGCGAACTAATGAAGTAAGCATAATCAAAATGAGGTAACATAAGAACTAAAAATGGTGATCTTAGAATAAAATTTCTTTTCTCTGTTTTTACATTTTATTCTAAGATTACCATTTTTAGTTCTTATATTACCTTATTTTGATTATACTTACTTCATTAGTCCGCACCCTTTTAGCCATTATTATTATTTATTTATTGTTATTGTTATTATTCTACCTACCTTATTTTACTTTAATGTTCCCAGATCTAATTCATTTTACTTTTAGTTTTCCTACCTATATTGTTTATGTTTCTCATACCTATTGTTATATGGTTCTTTTCTCAGCCTTGATGAAGGCCTGAACTTGTGGTCGAAACGTTGGCAAATGTAAAAATAAATATTATTATTTATTTTTGCCATTTTTTATTTTGACTCATCACCCCAACGATACTTCTCTTCAATTATTTGCTAAAGTCAACCATCAACCCACAATATTTATTTTTGTTACCTGATAATCCACCATGCACATCAAAATCAGTTAAAGATAATTAAATATATTTTCCTCAGGAACTATTAACTGGTATTCATCAGATTTTGCGAGTACATACAATAATTTTTTTTCAATGTAAGGAGTCCTCACTTACAGATCAGCAGTAGTAGATTTGCTTCCTACAATTTCCTCCTCCCTGTTACCTGCTCGGCGCAAATTAAAAAGAAAATGTCCTACAGATCTGCAGCTTGATTAATAAGTATATCAAAGCCTTTACCAAACTAAAACACAGAAACTAATCAGTTTCATCAAATTTTTTATACGTGCTACAGCGCTGTTGCAAATGGAGTAAAAGAATAAAAAATATAAAAATTGTTAAAAAAAAATTGTAGGTAATAAATGAAATTGAAATGGTTTATAGTAGGGTACTTTTTATACAGCACTTATGCTTGATTAGGAAATGAATGAACCTTAAAAAATGAAAGTTCATTATAACCGAAATAGTTATTCATGTTGATATAGAAAGCAGTTTTTTATCCTCCCCTTGTAAGATTAAACGTTACATGGTTTTCCCAAGGCGGGTATTTTTGAGCTGGGAAGAGGAAGTGTTTGAGAAAGGTTGGCCGAAGGCGGTGAAGAATATTACTTCTTTCACGCAAACAGTGAAAGCGCATACTCTCTTCTTCACGTCTTTCAGATCATGTCATTCTCTGGCAGGGGTCGATCATGCAGGTTCGGCTCTCGTACCAACATCCTGATTAGCGGAACGAAAGGGAAACTTCAATCGTTAAAGAGTAATGGTCAGAGTAATTGTTGTAATAATACTCTTTTGTAATAATACTATATGTATTATAAGATTTAAATTATTATAGATGTTCTAAAAATGTATATTATTTATGGTGGAACAAAATTGTCAGAATCTACAGTAAATAATTTCTATTAGGTTAGACGACATATCGACCCAAACATGTGGCTCATCCTCAGGGCCACTAGTGGATCCAGGATTTAATATTGGGGGGAAGGCTTCATTTTTTTTCACATATATAACGATAATTATTTTGAAAAAAAAAATAGAAAGAAACTAACTATCCATATGACATGGTGTCTTAGTGATTCTTGAAGTCTTATTAAATGCAATTACACGAACAATAATAGTTTAAGAGATAGTTTTTAATATTTTTTTCAATAAAACATGGTTACATTTTACCATTTTGTTGGGAAAGAGGCTTCATCCCGAAAGTCTCCTCCCCGTATATTCACCTTTGTTCTGGGCTATATTTTGGAAGTCAAGACAAGAACTGGTAAATAGTTATATACAGTAAGCAAGTAGTTCATAACTCGACTTCCAAACGATAGCCCAGAGGATGACCACACGTCGGCTAACCTAGTAAAAATTCTTGTCTGTAAATCCTGACAATTTTGTTTCATCCTAATAATTGATCAGTCGAATAATTACCCATCTTGGTATATTATTTATTTGACTAATACATTTTACTGTATCAATTTGTGTTACAGTTTAATACAGCACACTGATACACACAAAGCAGGAGATACATTGCCATTCTTTATGTATTTTTCAAGGTTATGATTTTTTTTATTTAGGCTCTATCGACCGTTTTTCAATTCACAAGATAAACTAAAAAATAAAGTTTTTCGTCATAGATACTTTCTTCCGAAACTACTTGTTAATTTCGGATGTGTTATTTAAATACCTATTTTATATTTCAACATGATATTAATATATTTAATTTTTGAAAAACACAAATGAATTATGTTAACATTTTCAGTATCATTCCATTTTTTTTTAAATCCCAATTGTAAATATTTTTTATCATTCATAATTTTCTCTAGGAACTTTTTATGATTTTATATTCCTGTTATATTGAAAAATTAACCAATAAATTATCATCGAATTGGTTGTAGAAAATTTGAAAACTAAAAAACTGTCTGATTGTTTTTGAATTAATTTTTGTTTTGTTTTAAATGAAATATTGAAGAATTTAAAATTATATATTTTTGTCGTATTTGAAAAGTGGTTTTCATGGAAAGTTAAATAAAAATATTAATCATAACATCTGCATTATAAGGCATTTTAATGAAGCCTGGTAAATTTGCCACAGCTTGAGATACCCATGGTTCTTTTCCTTCCTCTTGGCTGAAATGCAAAAATTGTTTTATTACTGATTTTGACTGGTAATTCGCTGGTTGTCATTGTTGTGTTAGACTGGTTCGAATGTATAAATAAAGTTTTAAAGAACATTTGTCACAATATGAGTTTAATCGCAGCTGCTTAAGTTCAATAGTCCTCCTCATACAGCTACTTTAAAAATTAGCCATTTTTTTCCAAAAAGCAAAATTTTAAGCTTTGCTTCAAATTTTGAGATAAATATTGGATAGCAAACTGACGATTGTTGGAATTGGAGTTATGGCGATCCTAATTAGTTTTAATACAAGCATACAACGAAGCCATAAGACCTTAACTCAGTTTAAATTCAATTTTAACTCAGTTTAATAAAAGTTAATAATCCAGATTTTGAGACTTCTCGATCTTAAGTTTAAAACTTTCCATATAATAAAAATTTCTCGGTTTACTAATGACTATATTTTATGTCCTTCCTTCCTTTCGGAACTACTACAACTCGCGGTGGGTTAGGGCTTTGGGACATTCCCGTCGCAACAGCCAGTTCATTCGGTACACTATCACTGCCTTCCAGTTTCTTAGTCCTAAGATGGATCATGTATCCTCCGCCACTCCATCGGTCATCCATAATTTCGACATGCCGATTTTCTTCTTTCCGTTAAACTTTTCTTACAAAAATCTCTTTGGGATCTCGTCATTCTCATGCGAGTAATTTCTCTGGCCTGCCCAGAGAAAGCTTCCAATCCTGATGGAGTTTATATCATTAAACATTTACTATAAATGAACATATAGCCTAAAACGGTCAACTGTTCACCTGTATTCTACAGACTCAAGGCTTCATAGATTGGATTTTTGTATTTACATCACAATTATTAAACATTTTTCTTATTTCAGCATTTGTTCTGTCGCCAGGCATTTTTGCTGAAAGTTTTAGAAATTTTTGCCTTTTTAATATTCGAAAATTCATCTGAAGATCCACCTCTACTATGTTAGGAGCATAAGTTCTTGAGTTCGAGAAATCGTTCAGCATCCAAACGCATAGGTCAATACAGACCTTTAAAGGGTCTTACAAAGTCGCATTTTGGCGTTACATGGAAGACATTCACTTTTGAATAGTTTTATGCGCCTCTAATGGCACTTACTTGTAGCCGTTAATCTTCTATTAATTTCTTTCTGCATAATATTGTCAGAATTCACCTGAGAGTCTAAATAAATAAATTCTTTCACACACTCAAATGTGGAATCTCCAATATTTATATGGCCATTAAGCTGAGACAATATTATTAAGACCTGCTTTCCTATATTTGGTTTTTACCTCATTCACAGTCATACCTATTCTTTGTGCAGCTTCCTCCTTCCTCCTTCATATATCCCATACTTCTAACCGAGGATCTTAACAGATGAATTTTATGTGAAATATAATTATAGTGAAAATCTTAGTGATTATTTGCATAATTATGTATTTTGGTTAACAAGTACTTGTTTGACGGTGCTTGAGTGTCGAAAAAGTGTGAAATACTTGATTTTATTTTCTAAATTTTTCTCCATGCTCTATTTTAACTCTAATTTTTTTTTTCTTCGAGATCAGATTGATGAATATAGCTGCAGGATTCGTCCTATGGTTCACACCGTTGGATCTGTACAGCCCTTGCCTCCTTGTACTCGCACATTTCCGTTGCACACAATATCTCGCTCTTACATGTAGCCAATGAGCTTATGAATAACTTGTCATATGATAAATGGAGGTCTTGATGTACGAGTGTGACAAACCGTACATTTTAACATTGTCGAGTCTGACGATGCCGGTTCGAATCCGGCCTAGCTGGGTTAAAATGTATTTCGTGGTGGACCTACGGAATGAATTTCGACTTTCCCACTCTGGTTTAGAATGAGTTTGGTCGTACCTCTTCAACAACCTGTATGCCAGAAAAATCTGGTGTGTTCACTCACACGACTTTCCTACCTACTTCAGAAAAGTATTTATATCTTTACATATGTCCATCAAGAAACAAAAAAATAATATGTTATGAATTATATTTATTTTCCTGAAAATTGAACAAACAAAAGATTTGAGTACGATTTATTTGATAAACTAAAGCAATGTAAATCGGCTTAAGGTAGATGAGAGGAAAAATTTCAATATTCTCTAATATTGCTGATCAAAAACTTTTTTTGTTATAAACTAATTTTGTCAAACAATAATTTCTGTTAAAAGTAGCGGAAATAGTGAAGCTTGTGAGATGCGGGCAACAGATTTTCTTACTTTCACTTATTACCAACCCTTCCTGACACCAGGATATGAAATTGTAATCTTATATTGGAAATTGAATAGCTATAACTTTGTTAATAGTTGTCCGACATGAACGATTTTTATATAGTTGTGTTTTAGTTGGAAATTCCATTGCCTTTTACAAACAGGCTAAACGGTGTTATTACTATAGGCTATATGGTGTAATTTAATTACGTTTTAAAAGGTTTTATTACAAATTTTACCATAGAATATATACTTAGCGAATTAGGACCCAAAACATTTTTCGTTTTTTTTATAACTTTTTTTCTTGAATTTTTTCGGGAATTTAGTCCATATACGAAACTTGTAAAGGCAATTAATAGAACATTATAGGCCAGTTTCATCAAAATTATTTGAGCCGTTTTCGCGCTGCAGTCTACAGAAAAAAATGTTTTTAATTTTTTGCGCAGCAGCTATTGCGCATGGAGCATCCAATCTGAGTAACAGGCAACAGTAGTCAAAACCCTACAAAATAAAAAAAGAAGTAACATAATTGGTTCACTAGTTCTCGAGAAAATCTTGGCACAGACAGACCAATGGCTACGTGTTTTTCGAACTCAGGGGATTCTGAAACGTATAGATCCGTCGAAAACCGCATATCGGAAATTTGATCCGATCGCAATACTTTCCTTACCTAGTATAGGTAGAAAAGTAAAGCAGTTAAAAAAAGAAATTGTTTTATTTTTATTTATATTTTAACAGGTTTTCAAGGACCTGTTATAATTTTTTTTTCTTCCTGAGTAATTACCGTTATTAAAAAAAAAAAAAAAAAAAAACCAATTCTCCTCAAATTTAAATCCTGAATCCGCTACAGCACGTTTACGCTATAGTTAATACGTTGTTTTTTAGTTATATAAAAATTAAAGAGCGGTCATGTTAATTATATAGATATCCTAAACCTAAGGCAGCTCTGATCATTATTCAGTGTTATTCCTTATTTAAGGACATGTAGTTAGATAGTACCACTCCCAAAATATGCAGAAACAAGAAATTTATTAGTAACATCCTGAACGTATTCTAATTCCAGTATCACATTTCTGAGGAGATAGCAGATTGGAAAATGAACGGCGCCGAAAGTAAAAGTATCCCCCATCAAGCGTAACATTTCCTTAACTGTTTCTAACCAACTCCGGACAAAAAGAGCTTTAAGCCGCTATTTTTTTCATTATCAGAATGGAAAGGGAGGAAATTGAAGTGGATTAGTCATCTACTAGTTCCCTTTTCTTTTCTATTCAACATCACTTTCAGCATTTCACTTCCATCTCCGTTTCCTATTCAACCCCGCTTTATTACGCAATTATC